TAAAAATATCCTGGCAGGGATTTTTTAGCCAACCTACTCGCGAAATATATATTAGCATGTTGAATTTCATACAAAATAGATTTCATTCATTAAACAGATGGGTGAAGGTCGCGCCCTTGTCGGATCTTAGACTATAAGTTTTTGATAAATATTTTTAGATTTTGTGAAAAAATTTAGTTTTCTAATATATGGTATTTTTTATAATTTTAATTAACATATTATTTTATTTCAAACTATTAAAGATAGATATTTGACCGTTTTGCTGTTTTCCTGAGTTAAAATATCAACTTTCTGCTAGCTTTCCTTAGTTGCACTTCTGCAATTGCTGAGCACGATATTTTGAAAGATACATAGCTTCGTTTATTACATCTTGCTCGTCCCCAGTACAGCAAAGTTTAAAACGAGCTGGCCAGTTGTCTTGTATAATGCATTGTATAGGACGTTTCTTTGTTTGCAAGCTCTGTCGGGGAACGATTAGAGGAGCAGGAGCGCTTTAAAGTTTCGTGTAAGTAGACGTAGTAGTATTGGTGTACCGTCAATGCAAATGTCGTGTCCAGAAGGTGCAAGGGGTCTTCGCTAATTTTTAGAGAAGAAGGTGAGACTTCGTGCAGTGAAGAGGTGAGAAAGATTGGAGAAAAGCCGCTCACTTTCAAACAAAAGTTACCAATGCCATTCACTTCCTCTGTTTCATGCTTTTTGGCTACCCAGTTTGATCCTGTAGCGTTACTGACGACTTTCAACCGCTCAGATAATTCATTGTCCAAATCCAAACCTACTAGTAGTTTTGGTTAATTCCGTGAGTTAGCTGAGTATTAATGGCCTGCTGTATAGCCACCTGAACTTCATCGCTGGTAAAAGATGTTTTCAGTCTGTTGGTCATTCCACGCTAATTCTTGTTCGACGAAGCATCTAGTATGAAATGTCGGCTAAAATAGCTCAGCCATTTCATCGTGGTTGATCCGGCGCTAGCGCAAAAAATTAGTTCCAACCAAGCAAGTGCGCTTCGTCAGATAGTTTTTGTTTTTAAGCATATACAAACCAGAGTTTCAGTCCATTTCGCCGTAAATTGTAAATATTTTTAAAAAGGTGTGGTCATTATAGGAGTGACAGGATGAGAGTATAATATGCCATTTAATAAAGTCTTGTCAGCATTTTAACTTTCCACAAGCTTGACCAGTCAATAAATCATATTTTCATGCGCAAATCATTCTCCATGCCTGGCAATTACAGTCAATCATTACCGTTGCAGTAGACCATTCCGACGCATACAACGCATACAACGCACACAACTCGTTGCAAGACTCGCACACTCAGCAAGCGCACTTAATTCGGTGTTGCCATTAAGTACGCTTTAATAAAATAAATATTTCTAACAAGCAATTAAGCTAATGCAAACGAAATTGTCCGCAAAAAATGAATATTATTACAATGTAACAAAATTGAGTAGCCAAAAATTTATAGCGACAGCATAGTATTGCGGCTACCACATATTTATTTATTTATTTATTTAGTTTGCCACTTGATTTATGCTTAATGTTTCCATATTGTTGTAATTTACGTGAACGCATGTGCGCATGCGCAACGTGCCACAAATATGCATGTCGATACTTGTATGGAGCATGCAACTGGGCGTATTTTACATATCGATTTTGGCAATGGCTGACAGTGGCAGAGTGTTGTCAATATCCAATTACAACCAGCAGCAGCAGTCACTTATGTAAACACACACATATCTACATTGACAAAGTAGATCCAACAACGAAGGCGGGTGTGCTCGTAACACAAACTCAAACTGCGGGATAGCAATGGGTTAAGGACATGCGCAACAACAAAACGGCAGCAGCAGTAATAAGAATGCAGACATCAAGAGTCAAATGAGTTACGGAAAAAGCACTTTGTGTTACAATATTTTTTACACTATATTCATTTTAGAGGTAAAAAAAAAACGCTTTACTTCGGCTATGACTTATTTGCATACGTGTTTTTCGAGGCGTTTTTGGGGGTGTTAATGGCATAAAGAATGGCTCATGCTTGCTCACTTATATATTGCATTTTTGTCTAATCACCTCGTTACAAAGACATTTTGTCTCAATTTAGTGCATTTTTTGAGTATTTATTTTTCTGTATTTCGTTGTGTTTTTTAAAACTGGTGTGGCGTTACCTATATGTACTTAGTAGCATTTTAATTTGTAAATGAAATCAACTTAAATGCGAACATAAACACTGACAAGGCAAAAATATGAATTCGTGTGCTCGAACTATGAGTAATTTGTGTAGCAGTAATATTAAAGGAATATTTAGCTTTGAGGCAACAATATTTTTCTTAATTCCAAACAAACCAATATATATAGAAAACTACTTGCTTTATATACAGCTTTCTTTTGCAAGTTTTTTATAATTTAAAATTATACGAGAAAAATAACACAGGTTTGAAAAAAGGTAAGCACATTAAAGCAAAATTATATATCCCTATGTTATTCGACACGCTGAATGCGAATACGAGGTCTGTTAGCCTCCATGATATCAGGTTCGAGGTCATTTGAGGGTCAAATAAGCAAAAGACCCTTTCTGAAGTATCTAAGCAGCCTTGGCCTTGTCGAAAGCTTTCGTTATTGTTTTTCATTACACGCTATTAAGAAACGTGTTCTAGTTAATAGGGTCGATATCGAAAGACAAAAGTCTGTCATAAGACAGTTGTCAATTCTGGCAACTAACTTCAAAGCTCGTTACTAAATGAAAGATCTGCTGGAGAGGAGGTCTTAGCGTATGCTGTTCGCTTTTTGCAATATGTTTTTTGTTTTTTAATTTAACCTAATTAAAAAAATTTAAATATTTATATTTTTCCTTTTAAAACAATAAACACTAAAGAACAAAAAAATTAAACGAAAAAAAGGTAACTAAATAAAATTACAATAAAGCAAAATTGAATATTTTTAAAAATTAAATGCAATTAAAGAAATGTTTTTCTTTTTAAAACAATAAACTGAGGAAGAATATGTAAATCAAAAAAGACGAAATAGTACTTATAAATTAAATAAAATTTAAAAATTTTTTTTTTTATTTTTAAAACAAGAACTAAAAACTAAAAGAAATTTCAATAAAGAAAGACCAAAAAATTAATTGAAAAAAGTGATCCTAAAAACCAAAATGAAATTAAAAATATTTCTTTCTTTTTAAAGCAATAAAATCTAAGAATTAAAAGAAAAGGAAATAAAAAAAAAAACTAAAACAAAACTAAAAGCAGAAAAAGGAAATAAATTAAATAAGTTGTTAAAAACTAAATGAAATTAAAAAATACATATATTTTTCTTTTTTAAACAATAAAACTTAAAAATTAAAAAGGAAAAAATTTTTGAAAAAATTTAAAAATATCCGCTGCCCCAGGACTCGAACTCAGATCTTTTGAATGGCACACCATTGCGACTGTTGCAGCGACGCGAACTAAATGATATACAAGTACTTTTTCTCAAAATAGCTTTTTACGATGAACGGTACGCCTTATTTCCGAACTTTTTATCTTGTTATCTGTCTTTTATTTGTCTTACAAAAGACTTTTTACTATCTGAGTCAAAATTTTCCAGTTAGTGTGATAGTTTTCTGCCGCAGTGGTAGTACGCACCTCCAGCCACACTGCTACCAACTCAGATATGACGGTGAGCTTATTATAGGAAATGTTTTTGGTTATTGGTAAAATTTGGGAAAATACGTGCGTTTAATTACTTTTTTATTCATAAACATATTAATACAATTAATCGTAATCTCAGTAAATTGTCGAGGTACTAGCCTCGTCGTACATTTTTCATACCTCAAATGGCGTTTAAATTTCAGTTTCCAGCTTTTGACTCTGTTCTTCGAAAAATAAGTTTTGATTTTAAAACTCCCAAGTTATTGCAACACATCTATGTAATTTCATGATTTTCCTAAATAAATATTGAAAAATAGACTTTCAGCTGCCACATGTTATAGCATTTGCTCGTAAATAGACACAGACGCCAAACATATGTACGTATATAGGTATGTATTTCTACAAATGTTTGACAGAGAAATATATCGACCTCTAACTGTTATTTCATGAAATTGCAACAAATAAATATTTGTTGACACTTGAAAAATACCGCTAAAGGCGCACCCACTCACTTCACTTTGAGTGAAATCATAGTACACTTACAACTACAAATATTTTGTATAACCGAATCGCAATATAAACCAAACACGCAGCTAGAACCTTACCTACCGATACATGAAACACCCAAAACTGTAGCATATACTTACTTGTAAATATGTCTAGAACCATTTCAGTGGTCATTTCAGTTATGATCGCGCAGCTGAGAGTTCATTTGGCATACATACAAATCAAAAGACTTAAGGCACGAACTTGTTGTAGTAAGCTAATTGAACCAAAACAAGATTTCAACTGCTTACACAATATATTTAATAACCTAATTGAAGGATGAATCACTAATTAATCATCTAAATAAAGCATGCGGTTGTGTGTTTAGTGGATAAAAGGCACTCGTATGTATGTATGTATATACTCATAAAGGTGTTGCACGCAGCTTGCACTTGTGATATTAATGGTCGCTAATAAGCACTTAAGCGCAGCACAAATGAATACGAAAAAAAATTTAAATATTTGCTTATCGGACGATTTATACATCGTAAAGAAGCTGTATAAATATATAGAGTTAAAGGTTTTTGGGTTTTTGCCTTACACAAATAAATTGTCTGCTTGTAGTCGTCATAAATAAGGCAAGCGGCTAATTTTCTGAATTGACCGAATGTTAAAAAAAAATATTTAGGGCCGATTGTTCAATGTCTGGTTAACACTACCTCGCTGTTAAACATCATTATCGATGAACCTAAAAAGCAAAGCAATAACCTTCAAAATCGACGAGTTTTTGGCATTTATTGTTGTTTCTTCTTCTGGCCAACTAAATTAAAAATGAGAACCTAAAATTTTTTTTTTCCAATAATTTGCGAGAATATTTATGTACTTATGTAAGTGTATGTATGAACAAAATGTACCTAAAATAAATATACATATGTGTATTACAATTTTATTTATATAAACTAAAAAAGCTAGGTTTCCTTATTTTACTTTAGGTGCTTTATTTATACCATCCACATCATCGAACAGTGCCACATAGCGTTGCCAACGCTCATCAGCTGAGCCAATGGAAGAGAAACCGGAGCTTCGATTGCTCACTGGTGATGTTGGCGCCGATGGTGGCATAGCTGCTGGTTTCTTATTATGTGCCGCTGTTGTAATTTTAATTTTTGGCGGTAAGGGCAACGACAAGTGCTTCAAAAGCTTGGCATCAGGTGACAGCGTCTTTCGAAGTTGTGGCCGCGGCTCATATGAAGCACAGCGCAATAAAGGGTTGCGAAGCACTGAAAGACAAATATAAATAAAGTCATTAAGAAATTGCATGTAAAGATTTCTAGCTCAAAATTTTAAGTGGGAGTTATTATTTAGTTAAAATATTTTTCTACTTCTAATAACTTACAGCTTTGGAAAAACACAACAGCAGGACGGTGATGATGGTAGAACGGGGACAGCTGATTACAGGTGTGCTTCTTACATTTATCGACATACAAATATTTTCTCTATCAAACTAATTCACTTACAGTTATGTGGCAACTAAGTAGCTAAGCAGTTAAGCAAGAATTTTATTTTAAGCCATATTTCGCTGCACTACTTATGTAAGCTGGCCTACACATATGTACATATAAATGCATATCAAATACAAAGGACATACAAATACACAAAATTTACAATAACAATTCGTATGTTCGTGTGTTTTATTAAATTAACATATATGTACATAATTTTCGTCTTGTGAAAGTGCTTTTTAAACGTCTACAAATGACGATGGATGGTGCAAAACATATTTCGAAATTAAATTTTTCATTTATCAGTTATCGGAGTGATTGGTGGACAACTGACGCGCTGTAAATGTGGTTTCTGTGTGTGGGGAAAAAGCAGAATTAATCAATTAGCGTAAGGAAAAGTGTGTGAATGGAATATAGTTTTATTTAGAGGTATAGGATAATACTTCTACTTGAGTGTTAAATAATTTTTATTATATAAATAGTTTAAATAAATTATTCATAATAGTAATTAAAGTTTTTTATAAGCCTAGTTTCCCTGTAGTATGAAATGCGACCTTATTTGATGTCACGCTTGATACTATTTCTGTAATTGTTTTCAATAAATAATACAAAAAATAAAATTCCTAAATTTAGTATGTAGTTTGAGTAGAGTCAAAACTATTTTGGAGCTTTCGTTTTTTGTCCAAAATCGCAATTCAAGTAAAATTGAGTCTTTTTCGCCACTTTTTTGCGACGAGGCCATTCGGGTACAGGTTTAGAATTTCATCCTCGCGCTCGTGTGGGTAAAAAGTGCTTAAGATTACATGGATATGTCCCTTTTTACACCCGTTAGCTTTTTGATATACCATCCAAAATACTAAAAACCTATAGAGCATTATGGTCCTTTTGACTGGGCATTTTCTTACTGGCGGAAGCAGTTTCTGTTCTCTCATCCACATTTAATCTCCACGTCAATTTACCGCCCACTAAAACTACGCTATATTCTGCCTTCGGATTTATTAAAGTTTTTCCTCGTTTTGGGGACCTGAGATCAAAATCTTGTGCATGATTGTGAAAAATATAAGTCGTGTAAAGGTTCGCATCAAGACCCACCTTCTTCCCACGTTTATAAATCGCATGCATTATTCTCTCAAGTATTTTGCTAATTATATTTGGTCATCTTCCGAATATAATGAAGGTAAATTCATCTGTATGAGCATTAAGTCTTGCCTCACATTTGAAGTGGATTATGAAGTACTAGTTTCCATATCAGAAAACAACAAAAATCTTCATCAGAGGGTAGCCTCTGTTTATCGTCCATTCAGCCATCACTGTTTGGCAATTCAAAAAATCTTCCAACAGCGCCACTATCAAGACTTTGTTAAAGGCTTTTGGCACATCAAGGAATGCCCCCACTACATAAACTCCATTATGTAGAGCCTTTTTCATCTGTAGCAGCATACTAATAAAAACTGTTTTCGTAAAGTTGCACTAAAAGGACTAAAACTGGATTGGTTGTAGGTTCTGGGGGAGAAAATCTACCTGCATGATGGCAAAAATGGGTTAACCAGGGCAGGAACTGCGGTCGAGTAAGACTCAGGAGAAGTGCGACCTCGTATGCAGCAGCTAAGGAAGAGATCATGAAATCATTCAGACCTTCGATTCTAAGGGCCTTTTCGGTTTACAAATGACCCTTTTTACCTACGAAACCTTTAAAAAATATAGGATCTGAGCTATCTATATTTTGAAAGGTGTTGGCTTAATCACTTACAATACCTTCATTGATGCTAAAAGAGAATATTGAGCTGACTATAGACAATAGCGAAGCCAGAGACCTGCATTTTATAAGGGTTTTAATACCTTTGACTACTCTACTTTAAAAGATGGTGTCTTTCCAGCCCTGCTGTAAAAGATGTGTCAGCACTTTTCTGATTCCGTGGCTTATAAAAATTAAAAAAAAAAAAACAGTTTAAAATTCAATTGCACTCAACGGGCCGGGAGGGAGGAGGAGTGTGCAGTTCTTAGTCAGCTATTTAAGGATAAGTGTTAATGATCAAAAAGTTAGTTCTAATTTAAAAAAAAAAATTCTCCTCGCTTTCATAACTAAAACTTTATGCTTAGCCTTTACTTTCAAGAACTCAAATGAGTTAACGCTTTAACTACTTAACTTTCTCAAAAAATTCGTTTGAAATGTGCATATGAAATAACTCGTCTTATGACACAATCTTCCGAACTTACCTGGTGTCCTGAAGCCTTCCTGAATCTTGTAAATCTCATTTAATTCCCGCGCGCTGCACAGCGGCGTATCCACCTGCGTCGTCTCGTTGAAACGCGCATAATCAATCTCGTACGCCTGACGTTCTTTATTGTACAAAACGACCGGGTCAAAGCGATGACCCCACAATATCTCCGTATTTACATAACTCGAACGCGCCTGCGTCGACTGACCGGTAGACTCGACAGTGCCCTCCAATATTACAACCAACTCAAATTTATCCTGTAATATGTCCGTAGCAGACATATTATAAAAAGGTGAATTCTCATCGATCTTATGTTCAATAATCATGGGCCAGATGAAAAACAAATCCGAACCGCACTCATCGGCGCCAATTTCCAGCTCAGTGAAATGTTGCGACATCACCTCACCCTCCTTGGTGGTGCGCGTGCGTATGAGCTGTGCACGAACAGCAGTGCCAATAATATGCGACTTGCGCATATCACCAACGCGGAACATCAGCGACAAGCCACCATCGCGCTGACAAATCACAGCATATTTGGAGAAGAGCAACGTTTGTGCGCGTTGTTTGGCGCGTGTCATTTTAGCAAAGACGATGCCGGCCATAAAAGCGGAGGACATCACGCCGTAAATAGATTGGAAGCACATCATGAATATGGCTTCGGGACACTCTTCCGAGGTGGTGCGCACACCATAACCAATGGTGTGTTGCGTCTCAATCGAGAAGAGAAAGCACGAAGTGAAACCGTGTATGGCAGAAACGCAAGGCGACCAACCGGACTCCTCTGTGGTTTGGAAACGGAAATAATCGAAATTGGTGTAGGCAAATTTGAGATTTTCAATTCGAATATTTAGTTGCTTACCTTGATGATCGGGCAAATGCATCTCCTCCAAATCGCCATGTGTGTACATAATGAGCCACCACAGTAAGGCAAAGAACAGCCAGGAGAGTATAAAAGATAGCGCGAAAACGAGCAGCGTCCAGCGCCATTGCGAGTCGACAAGCGTGGTGTAGAGATCCTGCATGAAGCGTAAACGACGGCGTGTCAAATTCTTTTGCAGCACATTGCAGTCGCCATTCTTGAAAACGGCGCGGCGGCGCACTTTGCGCATGCTACCAGGCCGGAAATTGCGTGATCTGGTGGAAGACAAAAAAGAAGTATGTAGTTAAGTGTGGTTGTTGCTTGAGTTGAAAGTAAACGCTAAGTGCATAGCAAGATCGGCAAAGATCATAAAATAAGATGCGCCTGAAAGTAGGCAATGTAAAGTAAAGAAATGAAGGTGCAAGGTACAGGGTGCACGCGATGGATTTTTTTTTCAAACATTATTTTTCGGTGATGCATTTCCGAACGCTTTTTTTGCAACTTGTGCAACAGTTTGAAATTTTTTTTTTTAGCTTTTACGAAACACCTACGTATGAAACATTTTTTAGTGATGCATTTTCGAACGCTTTTTTGCATTTTGCGCAAAAGTTGGGGATTTTATTTTTTATTTCCTTAATTTTTTATAAACGGTATATTATAGCTAGTTCAAACTTGAACTTTATAATACTAATAGACTAGAAAACTAAAAACAAATTTTAAAATTTTGTTGAATTTTTCTTTAATTCTGCAAAGTTTGATAAACTACATTTAATTGAAGAATAATGGAAATTCAATAAAATAAAATTAAGCAAAAAAAAGGCGGAGAAGCATTATTCCTAATCAAGTGAATGGGAATATGTGTAGATACGAATATACTTTGAACTCCATGGGGTTGCAATTGCAATTGTTCGAACCGCTAATTTTTGCATCATCGTTTAAGCGTTAATTGCTCTAATTATATGCGCGTGGTCAATGCCGACGCCCCAAGTGCCCTAAATATTGGCGACGTTTGTGCACATACATACATATGTAGGTATGTAATAATTTTTTCTAACCCACCGATTGCATATCTAAGAAACTGGGCCAAAGAAGAGCATATTTTCATAGTTCACACATAGATTTGTACGTACAAACAGAAATGTACACACATTTACATGAATTACTAACGTCAGTCACTCAAAGCGTAATTCCGTGCAATGCAACTCAGCAGAAATGAAATCATATGAACATTAATATGCAGTCGCATTAATTAATAACTACTTGCTAAATATTTTTTAGTGTGAATTTTTTTTTATAAACCAGACAGCATTTTTACGAGTATTTAATATTTGAACTGCTTAATAGTAATTTATAGCCACAAATTACACTGAAAGAAGTGCCTAAGTGCAGACATAGCAGTGATGAAAAAGTAGGCACAATCCTGTTTATTTCTGCATTTTTTGCAACACTTTGCACTTGAGGAACAATCGAAGGATTTTTAGCACTAAGCAAAATTTTTCGAAAATTTTCAATTCAAAAAAAAAATAATACAAAAGACATGCCTAATACCTCTAATCATTGTCTAACCCATGTATATTCCTTAGTACTTACTTAGTGAAGACGTGGATAAGACAAGGATTAGACACACAAGACACTTAACACGACCAAATATTTTTTCATTATTACTACATATTTTCACTATCTACATACATATATACAGTGCCGTACGAAAGTAATGGCACAGAGAATTTTTCGCAATATCTGCAAAGTTTTTTATTCTAATTTATTTTCGATAATTTTTTATAAAAATATAATTCGTCCTACACCAAAAAACATAAAAACTAAATCTCTAAACTTTGTGCAAAACTCAGGAAATTTCAATAAATTTGCATACTAATTTGCAACTTGCTATTCAGATTTTTTTTTTATTCTTAGTATGCAGTTTTATAGCCCATCCAATTTTAGTATAACAAATTGCAAGCTTGAAGGTGCTAAAAAATCGCGTTGATTTTTGGCAATTTTTTTCACTCAGGTTCTTCCATACAATTACTCTTTTTATGGAGAAAATGAGAAACACCCTAAAAAACTTCAAACTTGCACTTTGTTATACTAAAATTAAATTGACTATAAAACTGCATACCTAGAATTTCTCTAAAAAATCTGATTAAGTCAAAAAAGTTGCAAATTATTATGCCAATTTATTGAATTTTCCTGAGTTTTGCAAAAAGTTTAGAAATTTAGTTACAGCCGAAAAAATTGTTGTGGAAGGTTGCCACCTGTTTGAAAATTTTAATTTAATTTAATTGATAAGATAAATTAAATGCTGCCATATGGGTATCAAACTAAAGAGGTTTAGGAAAGTTTACTGACGAAAATACTTTCAAGGAGGGTTGTCATCTGTTTGAAAAATTTTATTCAATTAAATTGATGAAATAAATTATGTAAGAAAATACGGGTATCAAACTGAAGAGGTTGAAGAAAGGCTACTCTCGAAAATATTTGTGAAGCGGGTTTCCACTTTTTTCAAAAATTTGCTAAATACTACAATACGGAAATCAAACGAAATTATTTGCGATATCTTTAATTAAGAACTCTCTTAAACCCTAGGCAGCGCCGTCAAAGTACTCATTTTTGTTTTATTACTCCCCCTTACTACATCTAAAACTATAGTATTTGTAAAGTAGGACGATTTTTTTATGTAAAAAAATCGGATTTCCGCTTTTTATAGAATAATAATATACGACAATTGAATATTTTTTGCGACAAATATTGAATTACTTAATACAACTTTGAAGAAAGTGTGCGATATGTTGCGTCAAATTATTGATTAGATTAGATTAGGTTTGTTTTGGAGGAGGGAGCAGGACACCTAGTTACCGCGACCCAAACGATCTATTGTAACAAACCTCTATTCAACTACAGGTCATCTTTGTTCCACGTACTGCTAAGAAACCTCGCGAGGTCCTTTGGCTGAATGCCATTAGAGTTGTGTGCTTCTAGGTATGGTGATCCTAGGAAGCAAAGTTTGGTCCTGGTAAGAGCCTCACAGTGGCATATAATGTGCTCTGATTTACCCTGTTCTTCGTTACACAACCTACACTGGTCAGAGTTGACAACTCCTATGTTTGACAAGTGTTTCATTACCCTACAGGGGTCAGTAAGAAAGCCTGTAACAATTCTTACTTCTTCGGTTCCCCTTGCTGATAAAGCCGGAATGAAGGATTTAGCCTGTCTGTTACCTTCCGTATTTGTCCAGTAATGTTGTACTTCATGCTTTTTCGTCCAGATATAGTAATTTTCCAGGGCAGACCGGAAAAGTGTCCTGGGCCTATGAATCCCTGTGCAGCCTCTTCGAAAATATCGAGCCCTAACCGCCAAAATAACATAAGCGACATTTTTTTCAAAATTTTATATTTAAAATATTCCTAGAGCATCTAGATGCATTTCTGCATCAAAAATAAATTTTTGAAAATAATGTCGCTTACGTTATTTTGGCGGATAGGGCACGATATATTAACTAACAGCGATATTTATAATAAAATTCATGATTCATAAATCAAAAATCTGTGTGAAAATCTTACTTCATAAAGCTCTATAAATTTTCTATTTACTTGGAAAAGGAGTATTAAAGTGGCATACAAAAGTCTCAAAGAACTGAACTAAATACTGAAATCATATCAATGCAATTGCGCATACGCCACGTAGTTCGATGAACTGATGTTGCACAAGTATTTTCTCAAACTAATTTTGGAAACCCGAATTTCAACCAGTTAAACGAACGTGAGCTGGTGATTTACCAATGCATTCGGAGTAAGAAAAACGTTGTTGTGGATTTTGTTTTACGAACGACATCCACATCAGCTAACGTAATATGCCAATCAGTTATGAATAAGCCTCATTATACAATAATATTTAGCTCATAAATTTATTCAAACGCTCAACAAAATAATTTTTTATTCAGCTAATATTTCAATTTCGCATATGCATTTGTAACGACGCCCACAACCCTAAGCACGTGTCGCTATTTTTTTTTCACAGTGCATCAACTAAAGCTTGTAGGCCGAATAAAATATCGCTAATTATCACTAAAGTAAAAGCGTCTGTGAAATTGTCTGCTTAGCGTATTCTTCTCAACTCAATACTTAGAAATTTGCATACAAAAATGCTATGTAAATGACAGCTAGTCTATAAATTCAGTATCACAATGTTGTTGTTGTTAGATTTTATAATGATTAGATATGTACATTAGATAGTACCACCCTACAGGCATAAAAACAAGTTTCCCATACACCTTCGAGTCTATGAAACTTGCGGGGGCAATTTGGGGGAAAAAAATCGTTTGGCCATATCAAGGGGATGCCTGTTAACTGTTTTCTGCGATACCAACATTCGGCAGTAACAATTTTTTTTTAATAGTTCTGCTGAAATAATCAAAACAATTCCTTAGCGAAAGTTCAATGATTTTTGGCGAGCTTCAATTTACTGGCAATGGGGTGGAACGTTAGGAGCAAAAATAGGTATCAGCGAGACAAAAACATCGATATATCATACCTTAAAAAACAACCCTATGTTCAGCAAAAAGAAAAATCTTTCAATATTTCCTTGCAAAAATACTTTCGATTCGAAGGTATACGTCGAAGTTTTTTCTGGTACTGTCTAATGTACATATGTACGTACATATGTATTACAGATGGCGAATTACGTCTGTACAATATTTAGATGATGCCAACTGTTTGATTATGCAACGATAGAGGAAACTTTTTTTTCCAACAGAATTACATTTGTATGTATTTACGTTGAGTGAAAAGGTATTTATACAGAAGGGCTCAGCCGTAAATGCAAAATGTTGTTTATAAGTAGTTGCTTGTAAGGTAGGAAAGCTACTTAAAATTGTTTTATAATGAGCTGATTTTGAGATATTTACGGCAAACGCAAATCAAGTGTAATCGAATTGATTGACTTGGTAAGCAATGCATTTGATGTAGCTAATACATATGTGGAAATGGTTAGATAAAAAGGAAGCAAACAATTGAGTTTAAATGAAATCTACGCTTAGATAAGCACTTTCGCCGTTTATTAGAAGGTATATCTATTTATGTAGGCATGCATTTGTAAATCATGCGTTAGCTAGTCAATAATACTAGCTAAATAAAAAGTAAAAAACAGGTCATTAAAACCATTGAAAGGCTCGATAAATACTCAATATCGTAAAGACGAACGTTTAAGTCGATCAAAAGGGGGTGTTTCGCCTGAAACGACGATGAAGTCTATGGAATTATATTGGAAGAATAAAAAT